GGAAAAGGAAACAAAAAGGAAAAAATAAGGATTTGTTTATACCAGTCTTATAGATCTTGACCAAGTCGTTCAATTTCCTCGATGAGAAAGTCGATGTCCTCAAAGGTAGCAGCAGGGTTCGAGATCACCATGCGGAAAAAGTTGACCTTGTCCCCCTGTGGTTGGTAGCTGACCATGGTGGTGCCGTACTCCATCATTCTGGCCTTAATCACAGGCGCCACCTGGAAGAAAGTCACATGGTTGAACGTACAGCCAATCAATTGTTTGTTTGCAAACTACGCCCCCTGCTGGGGTTTTCTCTTATCACCAGATATTATAACAATATCTGTTAGCATCTTTAAAGCCCTTTGTAACAGTTACACAAACCTATTTCAGAGTTGAGTTTATAACTTTTTTGTATAAAAAAATTGAGAAGTAGATGAGGAATTATTGAGGTGTCATCTGCATATAGGAGGATTCTGACTCCCACAGCAGAAGTATTCTTCAACAGGAAGTAGTGAAGGTAAATTAAAAAATACTTTTTTTTTTTAATTTCTATAAAACCAAAACTCCTTTATAGGCAAAGTACATGAATTTAACTTCATGTATTTCAGTAAAGTCTTTGAAGAGTCTCAGCTGATGAGTCACAGCTGGACCAACCAAGAAGTGTCAACACACCGGAACCACACAGTTAACAATTCCTCCACTGAATAACAACTCGATCCTGTTCAAGGTTCCTTGAAAAGCTAACATTGAAAAGCCAGGTTAAATCCAAGACTGTAGAGCGTTTATCCTTGACACGTCAGAAACAGAAACGCTCGTTTGTTTTCGCTCAACAGAATCCTCTGGCTTTTCTACTGTGATGAGCCAAAACAGACCGTATCACCGTCTATTAAAACGCAAAGACCAAAAATCTCTGTTTAGGTCATTTCGTGCCTTATGTGCAATCAGTAAAATCAGTAAAATCCACTTCGATATTCTTAATGACTCTTCGCCCCATGGACTTTGTCTCATCGTTGGCCTGAGCTTGTTTTCTCGGCAGTCAGTAACTGATGATGGCACGATGGATTAAAGCCTCAAACGCAGATCTCCAGGTCTCATGCAAACTTAAAAGCAAGGGATTTTAAAGTGAAAAAAATAGAAGAGAAACTTGGAAAAGTCTTCAAGGACAACCCATTGGTTCAGTCGTACGACTACATCTGCAGCAGTTTGTCATAGTCTGTAGACTATAGATGTGGCCGTGCTGCAGTAAGTGCTCTGTAGCTCCCTCTCCAAAATCAGCCTTTTCTTCCAAATGTCTTGCAGGTGTCTGGCTGCTGCAGATGGCCGGCCTGGAAAATAATCAATCAAGCTGTGTCTCCATCAAATCTGTCCTTGTCTCTGTTTTTGGACAGGATTCCAGCTCGGCTCCTCTTCCAGAGTCATTTAGAAAAGTGGAAAATAAAAAAATAAAATACAAATTTTGTTTGTGCTTTTTCCCCTAAAAGTGATAATTGGAAAGGACAACATTTCATCGTTCCTAATTTGACAATCAAAACACATGGAAGCAAAGACGCAGAAGTAACAATCAGCGCAGAGACGTTTGATGACGATGATTGTCTGAGGCTGTGACTTTCTTTCCCCAAATGAAGTCAATTCGTATTTACCATGACATGCTTCAACAACTTAGATATTTACAGACGGATCGTGTTCACGTCACACGTCAAAGACCAAAACACGCCAACGGGAAAATCAATGTCCTTATTTCATTAGCAATTTATATTTTCAGCACTTTCTTGGTGGGGAATAAATCATTTTGTGCAGCCACAGAGGCATTCGTCATCAACGAAGACAACTACAGGCATTATTAATTACATATATATTATATATGAAAACCCTGTAAGGGAGTCAACCATCCTCTGATTAAATATCTGCTGGATCATGGTGAGAAACAAATTACTTGAGCAGGCACAGAGGCATTAACAGTTGGTCAGAACAATAGTAGGGGCGCAGGGGTGTATTTCTAACTTTGTTGCTTTGAAAGTTTCCTTTTTAGTAACTGTAACTAGCTTCAGGCCAAGTGTCTGCGGACGTTCATCAAACTAGCTTGAATGCGTGAACGGCTGCAGTGAATGTGTTGGGTTTTTTTCAGTCATCTTATCTGTGCTCACCTTGTGTAACTGTTTCTTTTTCTCCTCTTTATCTTCTATGTAGCGGACCCCAGGAGGCAGGTACCAGAAGCAGACGTTGGTGTGCTGAGGCTGTGAAGACAGAGAGAAGGGAGGGAGGGAGGGAGAGCGGGAGAGAGGGAGGGAGGGATGGAGGGAAGGAGAGAGAGGATAACATTAAATAAAACAGAAGAAAGAATAGAAAAGACTGAATATGGAGTGGCTGTGTTGTTTTAAGAATAACAACTTCATGATTCGCAGTGCCTCAATGCCCCCTAGTGGTGAAAATATGTACAACAGAATGTTTTTAAACGTTGCGAAGTTTTATTTTGATTTACTTTCTAATAAAGGGAAGGAAAAATAATTATTTTTTAAAAATTGTAATAAAAAAATCATTGTAATTCATTTTAATTCAATACAGAAAAAGGCCAATTTAAAAAGCATATTGATGTTAATTATTCCTCTGGAACATTTCAATTAAGCGATGCATCAGTGAAATATAAAATCAAATTTTTTTCCCCATGACAACAAAATCTCACTCAAACTAATATGCAATTTTTTTTCCAGCCACTGTTGTTGTTTGCTGGTCATACTGCTATTTGTCAAATCAAATATTTTTCGGTGGTGTTACTTTAATGTAAAATGTTTAAGAACTACTATTGTAGACATATAATTGATAGAAAATGTGTTATGTACATGTCACACGTCAAAGGACATTAAAGATTAAAGATTGAAACAAACCCACTGGAACATGAATATTCTTGTTTCAATTACTGTATGTTTAAGCACTTCGAGTTGGGTGGAATGATGGAAGTCATCATGTGCAGCCACAGAGGCATCAATGAAAAACATTACTGTAAAAATCAGCTTTTTAAAGAAAACAAATTTGCTGCATTTTTGATTTTTTAAAAAAATCCATGTTTCCTTCATCCTCCTGATTTCTTTAACAAACACCTCCTTCAGTATTTCCCAGCCTCCAAACCCCACGCCTGATCCCGCCTCCTCCCGGCGACAGCATCGTTCATTACCCACGTGTGATCGACCAACCGCGGCGGCCTCATTTATACAGCAGCACCAGTTTGTTGGTCGTATTTTCGACCTCACGTTGATGTAAAGGCTTAATGGGAGCCACAGACAAGTGAGCACCTGGGTCGTTGCCCAGAGTCCTCCACCCATGATTTCCCATCATCCCCCTGTGGGGCTGTGATGCTCTCAGCCTGTGTGTGCCTCAGCAGGACAACAATAAGAGTAGAAACATTAGAGTAGCTTCACCGTGAGTGACATCGTGAGCGTGAGCGCTCCTTTTTCAGCCTAATGACCCGTCCAACCCACGTGTGTCTGCGTGGCTGCGGCCCGGCCTGGTCCGAGGATGTTTCAGACCCTCTTCTATTCACATGCAGATGAGCAATTACAGGCCATTATGCTATTCATTAGACGTAATAGCAGCACATTACACTGGCAGCCAGAGGTAAAAATGGCATTCATCCAACACAAAGCAGACGCACACTGTGTGTCAGTCAAGTCAGCTGTAATGATCTGGAGCACGGTGAAGAGGCGGCGGCAGCGACGGCAGAAATGTGGAACAAAAACACACACACAAAAAAAAAACAGGACCTACTTTTCCATCAAAGACCATCTCGTATCCTTCCCTGTCCTTGATCTTGTTGTAGAGATATTCGGAAAGTTCCAGACATTTGTCGATTTGAGCTTCAAATCCAATTGTGCCCTGTCAAAAAAATAAACCAAACAACAACCATCAGTTCATGAGGTTTCACCGTGTGGTGGACCAAATGGTTTGGTTTAAATCTGGAAGTATTTTGGACATCTAGGGTCTTCATATTCCCTAAAAGGCTTAAAAAAACAAACAATATTCCATAAAAAAACAACTTTACACTGCAATCACAAAATAAATCATTTAAAATTAACTATGGCACATTAGCTGGTTTGGAAAACATAAGTCATTTGTTTACAATAACAACACTTTTATATCAATTTTTTTCTAACTGTGTAGCAGTTTTTTTTAGGTATTTTTAAAACTTCTCTGGTTTAAAGTCAAGGTTTATTTCAGCCATTTTTTCTAGCCATCATCATTTTTGATGATTATTGATTATTTATCATCAAAAACTGAAACCAGACTCAGTTGTTTAGCTAAACATTTTGGGTTTGTTTTGTTACTTTTAGTAAAAAATATTGATTTTCCTCCTGACCTTTGCCCTCCACATGAGCCACAGCTTGAAGATGTCCACGTGCCGTCCACACTGCAGAGCTTTGTCTCCGGTGTCGTAGGACAGATCGTAGTGTTTGTCCTGCTGGAACAGGTAACAGGCGTGCATCTGGTTGCAGTTCTGCATCAAACCCTGTCCAGAAACAAAACAACAAACAACAACACTGACTTCAGTCCCTGTATGGGAGTGTGAACGGGTGACGACGTTAATGACGTGGCCTCACCTCCTCTCTGACCAGCAGGGCTGAACACTGCAGAGGGACAGACATCATTTTGTGTGGGTTCCATGTGACAGAATTGGCTCTGGAGGTGAGACAAACCAAAAAAAAAAAAAAAACACAGTTCAGCTCATCATTATTCCAGTCCTTCATTAGTGTCTCATCTACAAAAAAAATAAATAAATAAAACTCTTCTTGCCTCTCAACTCCATCCAGTTTCCACCGGTGTCTCCGGGACATGAGGAGACTTCCACCCCAGGCCCCCTGACCACACGAACACACATGAAGAACCCTGGTTATTGATGCTTTAACAAGAGCAATTACTTTACTAGTGTCCCCTGGTGGTCAAAATATGTAAAATAAATTTAAAAAAAATCAAAACAAAACCATAACACAAGTGCAATTATTAGACTGATATTCAAAGGGAATTAATCCATAAATGGTTTAAATTATATCAGTTTAAATTCTGATTATAATATATATATATATATATTTTATCTCCCAAGAGGAACACAGATTCAAAAATATTTAGGTCACTTAAAAAGCACTCTGTTGAAGATTTTTTTAAATAATTTTTAACAAAATGGACTTTGGTGTGGACGATTAGGTCGTTACCAAATTTTAGTTTCATGTTCCTGATGCAAACATGTAGGATTTATGTCAAATTAAAGATGGAGAACAGAAGCCTGAGCCGTCTCTGTGTATCGGTCTCATTGATTGGCTGCTGAGCCACTCCTCACAGCTACTGTGAGCAACGACAGGCAGGACGGTGGACTTGTGCTAATAGACGTGTCGTCCTGTCACGGCTGAAGCAGCTTCTTCATTAACACAGAGTTCCTTCAGTGAGAGAAACCACGAGGGTGACGTCAAGTGGGGGAGACCATGATTTACGGCCTGTGCTCCACTTTTTCTAATCTCCGGCTTTAGATAGAAGACGGCGAGCTTCAATGTGGGTCAACTGGGAGCAGTTCGAGGCCAGACGGACAAAACAGATTTGTCAACGTGGCTGCTGAACGCTGGGGGTTTTATCTCTTTATTTTCCCTTTGCTGGGGTGTGTGTGTGTGTGTGTGTGTCACTCACGTCCACGTGCATCCAGATGTTGTCCTTTCTGCAGATGTCAGAGATGGCGATGAGTGGGTCGAAGGCGCCGTACACTGTGGTACCAGCGGTGGCGCTCACAAAGAACGGCACAAAACCCTGCAGAAAAACAAACAAAAGACACAGAGTTAATGAAGTTTTTTTTTTTTTCAGTTTGACCAGATCACACATGTCCAGCTCTGGATGAAACCATATAAGATCAAAGCACCTTCTGTTTGGCCTCCAGTATTCTCCTCTCCAGGTCGGCAGGGATCAGTTTACCACTGTAGAAACACAATCACAGTCAAGTTAAATGACAAAGGTTCATTAATGTTGGCGGATTTTTAAAAACGGCAAGATGTTTGTTTTGTTGTTGAATCCTGTATCATTTATAAAATGTAAACAATAATAACCTCTCATCTGCTTTGATGCAGATCACACTCTCAGTCCCGATGCCCAGAGCTGCTGCACCTTTTTTGATTGAGAAATGGCTCTGAAATAAATGAAGAAAAAACATTTTTTTTAAAGACAACATTTTTTTTTCTACTGCAGATCACTGACTACAGGATCTAAATATAAAACATAAGAATAATAAAGGACATCATGACATCGTTCAGTCTGTGTTGTCTGATCGTCGGGTGTGAACAGAAGTCGTACGTGTTCAGACGTGAAGGCCGCCAGTCTGGGAACAGATGACATTCCTTTCTCCTTCACTTCAGGGAACATGTTGAATCGGGCCAGCAGCATGGCGTACATGTTGGAAATAGCACCACCTAGAGGACAATTAAACCCAAAATCAGCCTAAGTGATGGAAATAAAAAATATCTGCAGTCAAATATTGACACTGGTGTGTTAGAAAATAAATGGATGACACAGCCAATCAGTGTGTGACAAAAATGATGACTCCGCCTCCCCGGCGTCATGATCATGTGACAGAGAATTATGGAAGGAATGAAAGATTGAAGGTTGTCAGGTGAGGGGGGGTGAAGTTGAAACAGAAAATTATTTTATGCTAATTGCTTTTCAAATGTCATTAAAATGCAAATTCACTCACACACACACACACACACACACACACACTACAGTGGTGTTGGTACCGGGGGAGAAGATGCCGTCTCCTCGTCCGTCAGGCCAGCCAATGATCTCCCTCATCTTCTTCAGTGTGACGTATTCCAGCAGCACAAAGACAGGAGCCACCTCATAGGTGAACCTGCCGTTACATCACATGACCAACAGCCAATGAGTCATCACCAAAATCACAGACTCAATATGACAAAAAAAAAAAAAAACAGCAATAGTTACAACAACACACGGTTCAACCTCCGGAGCAACGATGTGGTTTCTCTACAGTCATTTATAACAAACGACACATTTGTTCACACAGCTACTGGCACTTGTAATAGTCACTACTGATAATTACTGCGATCTATCTTTAGAGCTGATCATAATGCATTGTGGGTATTTAGAATTGTAACTTTGAATTCATTAACTATAAGAAGCCGGACAGGAAATAGCTTTTATCTTAGCATTTTATAAAGAAAAATAATAATTCAACAGCACTTTGTTAAATTCCACTCCACTTTGACCAATGTTGTGAACAGCTTTTGTGCTAACCTTTAGCTTTGTGCTAACTTTTAGCTCTTTTTGTATGTACCTTTAACTATTTAGCTACACAGCACATATATTGATTCATACTAAGTCATTTTGCTACAGGTGGAGCTAACATACCCAGCAACCAGGTTACATTCATGTTATTTTCATGGCTAAATCTTAAAGCTTAATTTAAACCAGTTAGTTGTTTGGGAAAATTGTTAGCTGTTTTGAACGTACTTTTAGATATTTAGCTGTACAAACAGTATATTATTCCACATTTAACTTTTTAGCTTCATTTGTTGGCTTTCTATAAGACAAACTTAAAGCTGTTTCTACGGTTACGGAAGCCTTGAATGATCAGTTTCCACTCAGGTTTCTGCCCACGTTCTTAATCCAACTTTGACAGTAGCTGTGGAGAAAGACAACTATAAAACTAACACGTATAATAATGAAAATATGTCATAACAAAAACAGAAAATGTCCTTTATCTGGAGGCTTTGGGTTTAGCAGCGATAAAAATTGAATTTCTCAACAGAAAACAAAGACTCATTTTCTCCCTGCTGCTCATGTTTGCTCACGTTGATGGGATTTAATTGAAGTTTCTCCATCATTGGATGAAGAAGAACACAAGGAAAAAAAAGACAAGGCTTTCTTGCTTTTGAACAGAATGTAGCGCAGAAAAAAAAAATGAATTCTCTGTTTTTCAGAGAGCGCTCACATTTTCATTTCTCTGCTGCATTACCATAATTTAAAAACCGCTACATCCTCACTCCGTGTTCCTGCTTATAAAAGGTGTCTTTTGTGTCTTTGCTGCAGTCACTTTCAAACCCTGCACACATGTCGGCGTGAGGCCTCTGTGTCGCAGCTTCACTGTGTTGTTGCCAAAGGGCTGAAAATCACCGCGTTTATCGCCTCCTCCCAAACACACACACACACACACACAATAAAATAAGCTACAGATTAGAGTGAATTTAATTTCAGGGCTAATTTTCGCCCCTTTAAAAACCCCCATGGGGATCAGAGGTGAGGGGGAGGGATGAAAGCAGGAGGAGGAGGAGGAGGAGGAGGAGGAGGTCTGCAGTCTGCCTTTCATTTCTCTCCTTTTCATTTGCAGTGATTGAGTGAAAAAAAGGGGTTTGTATGTGTGTGTGTGTGAGGAGGTGGGGGTTCGAGGGGGTGTTAGCTCTGCTGCTATCAGCCTTTGCAGACGCAGAGCAGAGTGCATGCTGGGACGTCACCGGAAATGGGATCCATTGTCACCGTCGTTATCAGCGTTTGACATCAGGGTAACGCAGCATTATCTACACACACACGCACACACACCCACTTACATGTTGGTGTTGGCGGTGGAAGTGAGCCAATCAGCAGCCAGTCCCACCATGTCTAATCCTGTGGAGAGCTGATTGAAGTACCTGGGGTGAGCTGCGTTAAAAAAAAAAAAAAACAGAGGATGAAAATAAAAATTAAATTAAAAATCCAGAAGTTGTTGGTGTTTTCATCAACTGTCATCACGCAGAAAATGTTTGATGAAAAACTGTTCTTTGAAAAGAAAAAAAAAAAAAGCAGTATCTTAGACGTTCAAACGCATCCGGAAATTAAAACGCAATAAGGAATTTACAGAAGACAGTGAATGCACCAAAAATTCGGTGCAAAAGTTCTGTAACTCTTTTACTAAACGACTTCTGGTCATTATTTAAAGGCCATAATATTCACAATAATAACAGAAACGTAAGTAAGAAACGTTGGGTGTGGTAAAACAGCTCCACAGCGCCCCCGCCCCGCCTCGACGAGCATCACAAATTGATAGATTACAGTGTCTGTTCGATATCATCCAAGGTCAAGATACAAAAAACTATTTTAACTTTGTCTAAATTAAACAAAATTAAAGGGAAAAGAAAATCAGATTCTGAAGTTTGTAGACATGAATGTAGCAAAATGTCTCTGCAGCGACCCCTACAGTTAGCCTTAGGTAACAGTTATCTAAGACCGTCATTAATTTGGCCCATTAAAAAACGGTCTTCGGGAGGGATGAGTCAATAATACTCAGATTAGATTGGATAGATTTTTAAAAACGTCACAGCAGGTTAAAAATATTTTAGTCAATACTATTTTCATTTCAAAAAATTATTTATCAGTGAAAAAAAACGGGCAACGATTTTTATTCTTTTTAGGATATTTTCATTTTTATATTTTAAATTAGCACTAAATTGGCATTAAAATAACTAACATTTTTTTATATTCTTCTGTTTTTAATAAAATCATTCCAAATATTATGAACTTACGCAAAAGAAAACGTTAATTACAATAAAACAGAATTGTTTCTTACAATAATGTTTATTTTCACGTCATATGAACAAACGCTGTATTCCTTTGTTTCACCTCAGGGGGAAATTTCTAAACATTATTATACGGAGAATTGAAGCTGAAATATTTCAGACTGAGTCACTGGTTCGATGCTGCTGCTGCTGCAGTGAACCTCCCGTCACTCAGGACACAATAATGGAGCTGATTATTAGCCTGTTATCTCCTGTAACATGCTGGAGCGGATTTACTGCATCACTGCATTTTATTGGCCCTGATGCTGAGGAGGAAGAGGAGGAGGAGGAAGAGGAGGAGGAGAAAAAGCAGGTCAGCGTCCAGGATTTTTTTTTCCTCTTCTCGTCTTATCGCTCTCTGACATCTACACGTTATTCATCTCCCTTTTTTTTTCATTCGTAACCCACTGCCCCCCCACACGTTTTCTTTGTTTTATTTTTGTTATAAAACAAGTATTTTTTATAAGATATAACAGCGTTTCATTATCTTGCAAAATATATATGTTTTTTATCTCATCCTGTCTGATATTCCTAAGTGTTGGATTAATATTCGGTGTAATTTTAGATTTATTGACACCTTATTTTTCCGTTAAATTAATATTAAAATTTCCAAAAAAAGGTGCAGAACTAAATGACATGTAATGTTTTTAAGATATTTTTTTAAATGTTATTTGTTTTTATAAAAAACAGCGAACAACACATTGTGTTATTTTGTGCATCGTTGTGTAAAAAGATGCTACAGAATTTATGAATAATACAAAAAAAAATTCTGATTATAATACAAAATAGATACTAAATAAATATCCAGTTTTAGGCCTGATACATCCACGCGGTTTTTTTTCTTCTTTTTCTTTAAAAGACGCATTTTAACATTTTTAATATTGAGACATCCCCCCCTTCTCCGCCCCCACCCCTGACCCCCAGCTCCTACCTGTCTTGATGGCGTATTTGAGCGTGGCGCGGCAGCTGATGAGAATGTCGTCCAGACTGTCCGGCTCGTCCTGCAGCGCCCAGTTGTTCATCTGCAGCAGCTCGTTAGGATAATGGAAGTCGATCACCTTCGTGTTCCGGTCGAACGACTCCACGATGTAAGAGAGTAAAATGTCCACCACCTCCTGCAGGAAGGTCATGGTCTTGGCGTCTCCGTCCAGGGCAGGTAACAGGTCTGCAGGAGGGAAACATTTTTTTAAAAAAATCAAAAATTCATTTTTGAAAAAATGGTTTCTTTAATGACTTTGAGGCCTTTAGGGGAAAAAAATGAAAATGAATAAAGTCTCTAATCCATGTCATCCACCTGGGAACACCCTGTGAAGGTGACCTTCTGATGTTCCTGTCTGCATCTCCTATGGTAACCATATCCATGACAACACCAGTAAAGATTATAATTATTAAAATACCTCAATAAATTAATAATTCCATAATCAAAACAGCTGGCTGCACATTTGGATGAAGATTTTTACGCATTTTTTACGCACGACTGTAGAAACATTCATGGACTTTTTTTGGCAAAATCTGCATCTGAAAATAAAATGGGTGTTGATCTAATCTAATGTGTGTACCTGTTACAAAGTCTTCAACAAGACACAATTTTCACTGATTATTTTTTTAGTGATTTCACTCCACACGGTGACCGTGTGAAGGCGGTGCCTGGAGGCCAGACGTTCTCAACTCAGGAGACGCATGGCTGCGTGTAAGGTCAAACCTGCAGCTGTGTGTTGCTGACCGGTCGGTGTGTGTGTGTGTGTGTACCTGTTGAGAAACCGTCGGAGAAGACCACGGAGGCAGCTTTGGTGCAGTTGCAGGTTTTGTTGCAGCCACAGTCGCCTGCCACTGCTGCCTCCGGCGGCTGCTTGACGGCCGCCTCGGCCGGTTTCTCCACCACCTCCCCGACATTCAGCAGCGCTGAGCAAAAACAGCAGCAAAACACGATCGTCACCATTTTCCCATCCATTTCACCGAACGTTAAAGATCATGATGTAAAAACATTTTATTTTTTTAAACCGTCCTCAGAACGGTTTCCCTCCACCCACGCACCCATCACTGACACAGACGTACCACATAATTTCGATCCAAGTCCACCTGATAATTTCTGGGCCGCCGCTTGACACCAAGCCCTGGCTGCAAAAAAAAAAGACAAATAAAGAGAAATCTAGGACAAAAATGTGGGTCGTGAAGCGGTAAGAGTGCGTAAAATCAAAAGGCCCGGCTTTAGTGGATTATTTCTGAGGACAAACAGTCTGGAGACAACGCTGTGAAGGAAAAAAAAAACACCAAACAAAATAAATACTAAAAGAAAAAACACTCACGCGTACTGGGGCTCTGGCTCCCGGGGTTGGCCGCGGCATTATCACCGCCGAGGGACCAGAACCCGTGTGATGCCATCGTCGCCGGGAGTTAGGAGCTGCAGGACACGCGCACACCGACAGAGTCCCACATCCACACGCGTGGACTGTCGGCTGCTGCTGCTGCTGCTGCTGAATGTGAGTGCGTCTGTGAGTCTGACCAAAAGCTCTCCGACTGCCCACAGTCCCGCCGCGCATCCGACACACGCGCGCCACGCACTGGAGACGGCACTGAAGACGAGAGGCGGCGCGTAAAAGTAGAAAAACAAACAAACGAAGCCTAAAATAGAAAGAAAGAAAAAAAGTTTTATTTTTTAATTTTCGGTCTGTCCACAGGTGAGGAGAACAGCGCCGTCTCCAATCACTTCACTACAAAAAGCGCAACCACTTTAAATAAGAAATATTAAAGAAAAATGAAGGAAAATCAGAAGAATCTAATCAGGTTCTGATGCTGTGCTGGGATTTTAATGGAAAAAAAGGTCCATATTTTAAACAGAATCACCGAAAATGCACAAACCAAGGAAGTGAAGGAGGGACAAAAAAAAAAAAGCAGCTCGGAGCTACAGCTGCTGGTAAATACGCAGCGCCCAATAATCCATGTCTAATTTCACCCCCTAAAATTTCACGTCACCGAGAAGAAATCCCGTCGTGACTCACTTCAGGTCATGGTGACGAAGTGAGTTGCGTGTCACGTCGTGACTCCAAAACATCTACATCCACAGCATTTTCTCCCCCGTGGGCTCAAACTCACCCTCCATACAGACAGAAAATGCCAAATAACGCATCTGCCTGCCGGGTTACCGTGGATCTATTTCACGGAGAGCGGCTGCTCTAATTGCCCTCCTCCACTGGAGGACGCAGCGCGGCGGGGAGACGCAAATTGCGCCTTTGCGCACGGATCTGACTGGGAGTCCTTTCTCTCCTCCACTGTGTCCAGACTCACGACAGAAACCTTGTATCGTCCAGGACTTCATTACAGGAGACTCCACACAGTCTGGGTTTCATTTTTACTGTAAGGAAATAAAAACATAAAGTCTTTTTAGTTTTTATTTTCACCACGACGTTTCCAAATAAACCGTCTGTATTAATGAAGCTTTTGTTGTTCTGTTTAATATCTTGAAAATAAATAATTTCACAAACCTCACATTTCCAAGGTCAACCATGAGCCTCGAACTGATTTTAAGAATTCAAATCATGGTTCAGACTGTGACTTCTAAAAAAGAAGAAAAGGGGAAAAAAACAACAACAACACAGAAGAATTGATGTTCAACAACAGGACAAAGAAAAATGTTCTAAGTGTGAAGGATTGGTTTTAGAAGTTTTTGATCCAATGTTTTTAAAGGAGAACATGGTTTTCTGTTTCCTCTCTGGGTCATGTCCCACATGGTACAGACCACAATATGGAAGAGGTAAATGACTACTTTTGGTTCATCAGTTTATCAGAGGCCAATTTACACTAAATGCTGTTTTTTTTTAACCCAAAACCTTCTGTGTGCTCGGCACTGAGCAACAATAAAGATTTGAAATCCTCTCGAAAGAAAACTAGTCCTGGAATGTCAACTAAGACCTTGAGTCCAGTCTAAAATTAAAGGACCTTGAGACCTTGAGTCCAGTCTAAAATTAAAGACCGGACTCTGAGGTTCAGACCATGAAAGACCAATGTCTGCTGAGCGCCACCTGCAGATAGAGGAAGCAAAAGTCAGATGAGACAAAAAACAAGAAAGGAATTTATAGTTATTGAGTTCTTCGTTAGGGAAGGGAGAGGTAAAGAACCCAAAGGACACCGTCCTCACAGTCGAACGAGGTTTGCAGTGGAATCCTCTGGAGAAGTTTCAGTGCATGAAGAAATGGGAATATTGTGAGGGAGGAGGGAATGATGAAGTACAGAGAGTTGGAGGAAAATAGTCAGAATGTTTCAGGAGAGTCAGAGTTAGAAAACAAAAACAAGAATGTCCACAGTCCACAGATTTCACTGCCACCTTCTCTACCTTTTTTTTTTTTTCCCTGCATGGACCAAAGCAAACCCTGCCCGCGGGCCGCAGAAACCATACACTGAGCCACAGCTGTTATGATTCATAGAAGCAATCACCAAGAACTGGCTGCTGCCAAAAAAAAGAATGATTACAATAAAGTGAGCCCCCGGGGCGAAACGGAGCGGCCCACGTTTGTGTGCGCAGTCAACACTGCATCTGTGGGGCGGTGGCACGCACGTGCACTGCCCACTGCCCACTGCCCACACAGATGGCAAAATATTTGTGGAAGATTTGACACCTTCATTTGGGTCACATATGGCACGAGGTGATATGGCATTTAGGCAGCAGGTCTGTCGGGATCTGGGCCACAAGCTGCTCACAGCATTGCTACACATCAGCCAAAAAGAAGTCTCAGGAACAGAAGTGGGCCGCATATGTGGCGTTTAGGTGACGTTGTAATACAGGATCACAAATCGATTCTATTCTAAAAAAAATAATATAATACAAACTATTTGGTAATTTTTTGATATGGGCCACATATGTTGGTCAGTACCAGACCAACATATGCGATCCATTTTTCTCAAAAACACAAATATAGATAGACCCAGTAATGGGCTGCGCAATGAATTAACTTTAACAGCTCTTTAGTGGGCCACATCCAACAGACTTTTTCTATCTGGTACACATCAGTTTTGTCATTTTTTTTAAATTAGAGCTTCAGTTCTAATTGCAAATGCTGTCATTGAGGTTGCACAGAAATTCTTACAATGTCCTTCTGAGCAGCATCATGGTAAAACTGCAGCACATTTATTCATCATTCTATCTTCTGTGGTTGTGTACGTGAGTTGTGTGTCTGTTGTGTGCAGTCATCCTGTTCTGGAGGATTCTCTACCCCCCTCCCCCCCCCCCCCCCCCCCCCCCCCCCCCTTTCTCTCTCTTACA